GGCAGGAGAAGAGAACTGTGAGTTTGCAACATACGTTAAAGCTTGGGAACTTTGAATGGATAGGATTAACCAAACATACAAAGAGGAAGTATGTGAATTTATCAAACACTTTCCCACTCAATAATAATAATAATGTACTTGAGTATATAATAATAATATAATATATAACAAAATATAATAAAAATAATGTAACTTGAGTCAGGCTCATCCTGAGTATCACTGAAAATATCAGAGTGTCAATTACTTCATTGAGCCTCTAGCTTAAAAACCAAAAAGCAAAACCCCATTTGGAGAAATCAGGAATGTTTTAGAAGAAAATGATTAACATTTATATTATGGCTGAAACATAGCAGGATGTTAACCTCTAATAATGACTCCTTAGATGTTACGGAGACAAAACCTGTTGATTTGAGAGAGGTCTTATTCTGTTCCTCAAACTCCTACTTTATTTATTTATTTTTTTAACTGCACAAAGTATTTCCTTGCAAAGGTCTCCTAACTGATCTTTTTTCTTTCCTTTTCATAGCAGTCTGTAATTCACAACAGCGCTGTAAGCAATACCACAAACACATAGTGGGATTAGTGCTGTGTGTATAGTGCTGTTTGATATGGTTGTAAGGAAACCTGTGTAAAATGTTGTGCAGATTTATACTGAAAACAGCTGATATTAAAATGACACTACTGCTGAGGAAAACTCCTTCGGCAGAACATCTTAGCTGGTAAAGACACCTTCTAGTGGATTCTAGAATTGTTTCCTTCAGTTTACCAGCACATCCATCTTGCATTTGGTTTCTCCCTTTCTCTCACTGACCTGCTGAACACACTGACGGTACAATTCTAGAACATTCAGTATTTGCTTATATCAGTTTTTGATAATGTTCAAGAGCTATACTTCATTTTAAAATCTCAGATCTGTCTCTGCTGTTTTATTTTCTTTCTTGCTACCACTCCCTGTAAAGTCACAGTGTAATTAGTGATCCTGAGTGTGCTATGGAAAGGTCATTTTCGCCTACAAGCAAGTCAATTTAATGGACAAAAAATATCTAGCCCTGTACCACAGAAGATTGCACTTTTCTTCCTTTAGTACTGTAACTTAACTCATTAGAAATTTAACAAATGTACAAATTAATCTGTTTGTTGGAAATCCTTATGTTTGCTTGTGTACTACTGCTCCAACTCTATACTGTGCTTTAGATTTTATTTACTAGCTAATTTATGTGAAGCAAAAGACGGCATCCTCTCCCAGGTGGGTTTCTAAGCGATCACCTACATTTAGACTGTGGTCGCTCTGTTACAAACAAAAATCTAAGAGAGAAAAAATACTTCCTCCATCCTAAGATGGTTGCTCCTCAGTGGACCAAAAGTTTAGAGCATTCAGGATTTGATTTCTTCCTCATTTAGCACCTGGAATGTCATGAATGTGGTAATGATTATAGTCCTAATGATCTTGACAGAAAAGAGCCATTTTGGAGTCAAATATTTCAAGGTCAAAACAGTCATATTGGCTACAGTGAACAGTGTTAGATTACTGTAGAGAATGTTAATCTGATTGAAGAATACTAATCTGATTTACACTCTACTGATCATAATTCTTTTTGTGAATACAAACAAGTTCTTTGCATGCTCTGTCCCTCCACTGTACGAGAAAATGGTGAGAGACATACTGGGCTGTAAGAAGCAGAGTTGATGGTTACATCTGCCACACACAAAGAGAGTTTGCGTGTGGCAGATGTAACCATCACAATCCACAGTGAATGCTGGAAGAGCAGTAACAGCAAGTACATTTAAAATCAATTTGAATATTTGATATCCTTACTTTGACAACAGTGTCATTGGCTTATGGTAGAGGAACAGTTTAGGAAAAAAAGTGTAAGAAAAGAATTTGAGACTTCAAATAATAAGACTAGTGCCTCTGGTGTATACCATCCATACTGACCTGAAAGTTGGGGCATGGCAATTGAGATGTTTTCATAAATTTTTGGAAAAAAAAATAGAGAGAATAGCTTGTTGTAGTAGTTACTAGGAGCATTGGTATGCAGCATGGACCTCTCAATAAGATTGGCAAAACACATCTGAGACACTGACCTAACATTCAGACTGTTCACAGGTCTTGACTCTGAATCTCCACCTGCCATGCTTTGAGTATTCAGGATAACAATTGGTGTACGTAATTACTAGAAATAACACTGAAATAGCTATGCCCAAAGTCTGCACCATTTGCATAAAATTATACTTAGTATTTGAGATATTCTAACATGAACATAAAAGTTTACATAATAAAGGAAATTCCCATACACAAGTATTTATAGAAGATAAGTGCCATGTCTAAAAAGGTATTGTCTGACCTACCTGTTCACAATGTTACTTTTTATCTGTTACTTTATTTAGAAAAATGCTGTCATCAGGCTTGGTATTTCTTTATTTATAGTTCAATATGGCAAAATTTGGTAGCTATAAAAGCGAAACTGAGCCATGAAAACTGAGCTGTGAAAAACAATTTGGTGTAAAAAAAAAATTAAACAACTAGATAGTACTGAAGGCAAAGAGAAAAGCTGTCCCTGCACTCAGTCATGAAAGCCTTTTCTTTCAATTCTGCGCCTATGGTACAGACTTTAAAAGTAATAGCACAATTCTAGATTTAACACATTTCATGATGTGGGACATCAACTATCTTATGTTCTATCTTATGATAGCAATGTTTTGTTTTGAAACTGCTTCAAGCCTCAAGATCCTTCTGTATTCATTATATCTTGATGATGGTAGTTTCATGAAAAATTATTAAATCTGGAGGAGACCTTGTCTGTTTTTCACAACATGAAGATAAAAGACAGGAGCAAATTGTGTGTGTCTCAGACATGGAGAGAGAGAATCTAAAGGCATGCTTGCAAAACGAGGATTCTTTTTCTAAGAATTTCATAATTCTCTCATTTCTCAGATTCATATTACCATGTTGGTATTTGTTATTTCTCTTCATCCAGTTGACGTAATTATATACTCAACTTTAGATATTCGCATTGCCCCTTTCTGCTCTACTTGAGCATTCTGGCTCTCTGATTTCCCTAACTTGCTTCCCAAATGGAAGTGATTGATTCTTACACAGATTTTTAGCCTTTCCCTTTACTTTATTTGACCAATGCTTTCTCTGTATGTCTACACTGCCTCCTTTTAGTGTCTAGGGTTTTTATATTTTTACAGTTCCAGGGCAAGATGATCTTTTAAAGATTTCCTGGAGCTTTTTGGCTTCCTGACATTTTTCTCCTCCCATCTGGGCTCTCATAAAGTTGTTCAAGTGGTGACTTTTTGCAGTATTTTTGCCTCAAAGTGGTCAAAGGTAATAAGCTAGGCTCTGAAACTGTCTTTATAGATGTATTAAAAGTTCCTAAATGAATGTTGATTTACATTATTGTTATTATTATTGTACTCTGAATTTTAGGATTCAAGGCCTTCTCTACTTCTCTGAGAATTAGAAATCTGGTTTAAAATAAAACCAACTACCTGTACGCTAGTTGTCATGCATGACATGATTTTAGTACCTGTGACAGAAAAGCTCACTAAGCGTTGTAAGCCAGGCAATAAGAACAGCTGAACTGGCAACATTGCTAAGTGGTAACCCTATCCTGTCCCATTTGCTGGCTAGCCTGTTCAGCATAAACCTGACCACTTATTTAAATACCATATTGAGGTTTTCACGTTATTGTCTGTACAAGACCTAAGGATTAAATAGTTGGACATATCGTCAAGCTTTCACAGAGCTTAGTGCTCCAGAAATCACATAAGTTATGAAATCAATATTTTATTTCAGACGTTCAGATTTAGCATCTTCTGATTAATAATGCCAATAAAGTACATCTATTTTCCTGGGGTACTTCTGCTAATTTCTTAGAGAACTTAACTTTAATAGTCACCCTGATCTTTTTATTTTTATAGGATCCTGAGGCTCTATAATTTAGAGAAAAGTCTATAGTGCATGTTTTAATATTATTCTGTAATATGGAGATTAAATTAAAGATGAATTATTAAACGCTGCATGTTGGAAGTTAAATGACTTCTGCACACATGATAGAGAGGAGGAAGGCAACCAGGGAATACTGTTTTTTCTCCCAGCATATTGCAGAAGTTGGCTTACTCTATTACAGAAAAGCATGAGGCTAGGGAAAGAATGTTGAAATATTGAATTTTGGCTTGGCATTTGAAAATAATTTCCTTTAATTTTTGAGCACGTAATTTCCTTCCCAGTTTTGGCGGCTTTACAAGAGGAATTATAGTTGTTCATTCTAATTAGGTAAATATTTTTCATTCTGCTTATCATCTTTTCTTGTTCTTATGTGGTTCCTCCCTTTTCAGCTTTCAATTGTCTATCATGAGAACAAAGAAACCCAATAAAGATTAGTTGCTGTGAAAGAATACTTTTTTTCTGAAGGCATTTAAACACACGGGTAGGGAATGTAGTATGAGCTTCATGTTGCTAGATGAGTATTGATTTTTCTGCTTAAGCGATACAAACTCTTTAAAGTCAAGCTAAAAAATATAATGTAGTCCTTCACAGTTTGCTATGTCATAGAGCTTTAAAAGAACACTAGCATTTTCTAATGAAGTTTATAAAAACATAACTTGCTGAAAATACATTAAAAATATTTTTCTGGCTATTTCTGATGCGGAACTGTTTTAGATGCAAGAGTGGCGTTTACTTTGAAGAAAGTACTGGTAATAAATGGAAGCGAATTCAGGACACCAATGTTTGAAGTGGTTTTATTTTTTTAATGTAGTTTGCTAAAACTTAAACCATATTCATCTAAATGTAATTACAGATGATGCTAATCAAATACAAATATTCACTACACTGACTGTAGTTTACAAAATTATTAATGATTTAAGACATTAGTTGCTAAACTAAACCACAGATGTTAGCCTGCTTCAGTAGCCTTAAAAGGTGGAGGTATGACTTAACTCAACAAAAAGTTGACTGCCAGGCTGAAATATTATTATATTTATTTTTTTAGGAACTAATTTTGAGAAGCATTGCCTGGACTGGTCTGAACTTCAAGTAACAGTAAGTCAAATATGCCACAGATTAGAAAAGTTTGTCCAATAAACACGGATGTAGTTCTACCAGTGTTTTGAGTCTGTTCCTTCTCTTATGAAATACAGTAAAAATTTGTCTTTATGTTTTTATGATTTTGTCTAGATTGTGAAACTGTGCTTGACTTTAGCTCAAGTTTAGTTAAAATTAGCTTGTCCTGCCTGAATTGTCATTTGACTTTTTTTTTTTTTTTTATGTAAAGTTGATGTAGGTTGACATATTCTGTAAGTATATCATGTGCAAATACATGGTCTTTTGCAGAAACCTAGGAGCTTTTCTTGACGATACATTCTGTTGGCTTGCTGGCTGCTGTGTAGCTGTTAGCAAGCCATGGTGTGTTGAGCAGGGTTTTGTAGTTCAGGCTTGGCAGTTTACTGCAATATAACAACTGACTAATACTTTGCAAAAGTATGCTATGTACAGACAATTTGTTTGGTGGCAAAAGATGATGAAAATGATCCATATTTTGTAGTCTGAATTTATGCAGATATGTTATCCTGCAGTCATATGTAGAAAAAGCAAGGAGAAAAAAACAAACAAACACAAAAAAACAACTCAAATCACTTTTACATTAAGAGCTAGTGGTGCCCAATCTAAAAGTGACAAGTTCCAGTGGACAAAAGTTCAAAGGAAACAGAACTAATCAGTGATCTGAACGTCAGGGGATCTTTTTGTTAATTGTGTACTGACACTATAAGATTCATACTTGGTTGTGTTTTAAATGCACTTGTGGAGGTATCAATGACCATATAAAATGTACCATAGCAGTCACTCAGGCCTTGAAATGCACATTTCTTCACCAAACTGCTGTCAAGTTTTTCGATCTGGGTTCTATATCAACATCCCAATTATAGAGATTCTGAAAGCTACCTGCTCCGGGAAACGGCTTTTGGCAGCACTAACACCAGAAGAATGTGTTTGCAACAGGTTCAACAGGGTCTTGTATGGCACTGCTGAGTCACCTGGACACCTTCTGGTTAATACTAAATGTGAGCTTCAGAGACGTGTAACCTTCTTTAGCAGTTCCTAATTTATGGTGTGTAAAATTGTAAAAGTTTTCCTAGAAAACAATGTCAATAATTTATTTGCAAAAGGGCATGCTGCTCTACTAGTTTTATATTTGTGGGTTGAGTTGAAGTAGCTCAATTGCTGGCATGTTTTGCTCATTTTTCTGGAAATAAATTTTTTTTTTTTTTTTTTTTTATACTAAGGGATAAACAGTTATCTCCCTCCTTACTATCATATTAATACGAATGTTAAAATCCATGATGATCAGAATCTCAACAGTATTTAATTTCCAAACAATCTGAAAGTGTGTGGCAGATTTGGGATAGCAGTGGTGACGTAGTTTGAGAAGAGAAACTGTTCTCTCCTGTGACAGGCAGAAATACAGATGCTCCGCATGATAGTATTTGACAGAAATTGTCACTTTGCTAATCTTGATATCTGTGCTGTGTAATACATGATGCTAATATTTTTTTTTCTATTACCTTTCATTTCCACAGTGTGATTGCAGATTTGTTTCCACAACATTGAATGAGGATTGAATTTATGGCATTCATCACTATAACCCTTTAAAATGGCAAATTATTATACGTTTAAAAAAAAAAAAAAAGCTTGAAACATCATTTGTCCTGACTTTATGATAATTTGCTCTTAAAGCATGTATCTGTACAAACTCCTGATGTATTTGAAAAGAAGATGTTTAGCTTTCACGTACTTAGGGATCTCAGTTTTTTGTGTGGTGCTTTCAGTTCAGTAAGTAGTTATTTTGAAAATCAGGAATGTCTTGATTAGTATTGCCCATGGAAAGTGCTTTGTTTCCGGGAAGCTCTTTAGGAATGTGTAGCCACAAAGAGTTGGTTCAATCACCCCTGTTATTAAATGGCGAAAAAGCATGTTCTTTGGTATATTTGGTTATTGTTACTGAACTTAACTCTGCATATATATGAATATAGGTAGTAGCTTAACATAAAAATTTTACGTAGATCTTAAACTTTCTAGGAGAAAAAGGTAACTCTTCCTTCTCACACTGATCCAGCAAATTTTTACCCATCTGTTTATTAGAGACGTGGCAGCTTCATCATGGAAAAGGGAGAAAAAAAAAAAAGAAAGAAAACAACAACAACAACAAATCTTTGCCTGTGATTAAAGGTAAGCCTGATTTTTGTTTACTTCTAGTGTAGTGATATTTCATGGTGAATATTGAGTGGATGCAACAAATGATCAGTGCATAAATTATTGGCTGGTGATATATAGCACTTTGAAAATAATTCGTTAGCACTTTGACAAATTAAAATCTTATGTGAAAACATTAATGGATATTTAAGATGGTGACTTCTTTCAAATAATTATGTTCAAAGGGCATTTGTGATTCCCTAATATAATTATTTTGGGTTAGAGATACTATTTTCATTGCAACAGGTTGCAATTCCTCCTTTTGCCAAGGAATGAGTTGGCATAGTAATATGTTATAGATATACATATACAAGCATGGTGCGTGTATATGTGCCTTATATTGCGTAGCCTTTTCTATGTGGGTACATATATAACTGCTTTCTGCTAGTATGTTTATGAAGAAAAAAAGGTGCTCCCTTTTGTCTGGTATGCTTGCTGTTCAAGTTTTAGCTTTAGGTTAAGTTTAAACTCTTTAAAATGAAGAGACAAAAACCTGTAAAGAGAAAGGGGCCTGACTGTTTACCTGCTGGCTTTTTTGTTGTATTACAACTATACTTATTGTATGTATGGAAGAAGCTTGTACAGCCTTGCAATTCCTTATTTAGTTTTGCTATTATTTACCTCAATCACAATGCAGAGTTAGCCTTCCTTGCCCTTTTCTCAGTTGGTTTGATGTATCAATGCCTCTAAAGGAAATTCTGTATGTTCTGCATTGTAACTGAATATAGTGACAAATGGCAGCTGCAGCAATTTGGCTTAGCTAGAGTTGCATCATTCCTTATTCTGAAAGCCAAAAGTGCAACACAACAACCCATGTGCTAGCCCTCTATTCCATGTTTTTTCCTTATACAGCGAGGATTTGATGTGGGATGTTCTGCAATGACAACTTCTAAGTAGTAAACACTTTGTATTACAAGTAGAGAATCAACAGTGTGGAAAATATACGAAGTAATAAGGAAAAAAGAACAGTAACCTGTATTAGTAACACAACTGGAGAGTGTTAGCTTAGCTGCATTATTGGATACTGCACTATAGTTATTTAAAGATTGGGAAGAATTTATTTCCTGACTGAGAGATTAGCTGAACTGTATAGAGATTTGGGTGGTTGTTTTTTCATCCATCTTCCACAGCATCTTGGTGCTGTGAAGATGTCTGCAAGTTAAAATACAAGTTACTTTTGCTTTGTAGTTGGTAGATGTCCAGTAAGTGCATTTGTCCATAAGGGTCTTGTTTCTGTTGAAACAGAGTTTTAAGTGGACAGGGAAAAGCTGCTGAATGACTTGGGAATGGTGCTCCTAATGGCTGGTTCAGCAAGGACTAGAAAAATAGTTGGCTTTTGTATAGTGACATGACAGTAGAGTTCTTGTAATCAATTGTTCTCCAGCTGTCAAGGACTGGGTGGCAGATAGTAAAACGCTACAGCAAGAAATGCTTCAGGAAAGGATCACAGATTGCACTGCACATGTTACTGGATAATGTAATTAAAGCACACCTCTTGCATCTTGCTTATCTTGCCATGTGTTCATAATATATAAAAGGTAGACTGATGGTATGCAAAAGAATAGAGGGTAGAATATTTCCTTGACCTCAGACATGAACACAAGTTATTACAGAAAAACTCAGTGTCCACAAGGTAATGAGGAATATTTTCACTTTTGCATTGTCATCATGGAACTTGTTTGTGAGAATTTTGATGAACTGGTTGTGCTTTTTATCTCTAATATTTTAAGTTCACCTACAACTTAGGATTCTATTCAGAATAATATGAAGAAATATATTTCAGAAAAATAAGTACCGTTGACATTAAACAACTTTAGGTCAATGCAACTTTTAAATAGTCACTTCAGACCAAAAGAACTTACCAACAGTGTACAGAAACAGGTTATGCTGCCAGAAAAAATCCTGAAAGACGAGCTTTGAAAATTGTTATGAATTTCTCATTGTGATATCTACAGGTGGCTCATGATTTTTTATTTTTTATTTTCAGAATTAGAGTCATGGAGGTTAAATTACAGTAAAAATAAGCTACTTAAGTTAAAAATTAGTAATGAATAAAAAGAAAAGATGACTTTCAGAGTAATGAAACTTTTATCTACAGTCATACATAGTTATTATTCAATATACTATTTTCTTTAAAACATTTCATTTCCCACTGCTTCCAGTTTAATTACCTCCAACTGTCTTTATTGATTATGGATTGGTTATATGCACAAGTATGAGGGCAGATATAAATCCAATTATACTTCAGAGAAAGTTTCTGATTTGCACAAAGTCTCATTCTAACTACATGCTAATGATATAGCTACAGTTTTGAGACTGGAGGTTATAATGGATGAGTTTTTTTGTTCTTTTAAATGAAGCATTAAGGGATGATGAAAAGTTTTGAGTCACTTTTCCTTAACTTTCATTCCCTGTGGCTACACTTTTGATAATATTGGTGTGCAAATATAGGCATGCTAATGCGTGCACAGAAATGAACACAGACCTCAGGCTGAAATCATGATGAAAAATCAGAAAATTCAGGTTTGCATTCAGAGATAATAAAGGACTTCTGCTTATGGCTACAACCTGGATAATTCTCTCCTGAAGTTACAATGAAAGTGTGCATAAGAAAAAGCAAAATGTACTAGTAATTGATAATTTTCAGCCTAAATCCATATTGTTAATCATTTCTGAGAGGGGGAAGAAAAGAATCTATTTTTTATATATTAGAGTTTTACAGCAATTTTCTCACTTCTAATATATGAATTATTAACAAAGATACTCAGTCTAATATGGAAGTTGCCCAGAAACTCACTCATTCCTTATATTTAATCTTGGGGGCAAGCTGCAAAACAAGTGTTCCATGCTTTTTATAATGTTGAGTAATGTACTGTAACTTCAGAGGTAAAAGCAATTGATTTCCTGCTTAACTGTCCAATTAAAACTTTCCTGATTCTCATGAGAGGAGCAGGGTAATTATTTCTAGACCAAAAAGTTGTATTTTTTTTTCTCAAAGATACTTAAAGGCAGGCCATTTATAAAAAAAAAAAAAAAAAAAAGCCCATTGCATTCAAAAGAAATCTACTATAGTATCCTATTATGCAAACAATGGCAGTTTATAGAATGAAGAAACTGTTCAGTTTTGAGCGTAATGTACATTAGCTATATGAAAACAGTTTCTGCATTTGCTATATAAGTATGAAAATACTGACCTATATCAATAAGAAAAATGGTAAGATATAACTTTCCTTTAAAAATAAATAAATAAATAAATAAAATCTTTGCCTAAAAGAATAACTGTAAACATTTACCCTCTTACAGAAACCAAGTCCTCTTCTGAAATATAAAGCCAATAATTGTATATATAGGATATATGAAGAGGACTTTGCATTTCAATTTTTTGGGTGCACTGCACCAAATTTCTAGAACAGGAAAAAACGGCTTTAGTGTTGGTGATCAAATTCTAAATACACCTCATATGGCATCCTTGCATGTGGTCTGCCTTAATTTGCTTTTGAAAAAGCTCCAAAATTTTGAGATTTGATAAGAAGGCAGAAAATGATGTGACATATTCAATAGGATGATTTTAAGTCTGAATTCTGAAATACGCAAATCAAAAAAAAATAAATAGGGAGCATAATCACTGTTATTTTAGCCTACTGAAACCTCCTAATGCTTTTGAAGCCACAGATGGTCTACTAGATGGAGAGGCAAAGGTTCTGTAATATAAAATCAGTGTACTACATTAAGAACATATTACTCACAATTTCTTGTTCTTAATCCCAGAAGGAAACCTTAAGGGATATGTCATGATTTTTGCAGTTATCTGTGGTTACTAATTAATAGCCATCATCTCTGAAAGTATCTAAAGCTTCCAAAATTTGTTATGATTTGTTTCTGTTTCTGCAATTATAAAATGCTCTCTGGTATGCAACCTATGCAACTCTGTTAGTGTGTGGAGTACTTCTGTAAATATTCCTGATACTAAATATTCATATAGAGCTATGGGACCTATTGTTCATGTGAAGGGATAGTCTGTTAAATATATTGGCCTCAGATAAGCTCCACCGACTAACAACAGTGATTGATATGGGATAACATCAGACAGGCAGATTTGTAACAGTAAACTCTAAAATACCACAGTGTTTAGAGACTGTGATTAGTAACCAGTCATTTAAAACACTTAAAATATAATTTGATACATGTTATAGATGACTTACTTTGAGATGTTTGAGTGTCTATAAATTTCTTTATCAAGGCATCAGTAGTTTGTGTGTAAAGACTAAGAGCGTATCTCAGGGACTGTAGGTCTGGGCTCTTTTCCAGGAAGTTCTTTTTCAGCCCACTTCCTCCAGCGTGGAAGTATTGCTAAAAAAAAAAAAATAATAATCAAATACGGACATTGAGAAAGGTAAAATATCTAACAGATGCCCCAGTTACATACAGATAATTTTAAATAAAATTATTACACAAACTTTTTTACAAATAACCTTGACAGTGTGGTTAGATTTGTGATTGTAGCTGTTGAGATAACTTTCATCAGCTCTCCTACAGAACATCTTTCCAAAGGTGAAAATTTAAGATTTATGAGGGTAAAAATTATATTAAATTTTAATTTTGATCTTCATGATCTCAAGTATTTTTATGTAAAAGTGTATGTATATACAAATACACACACACGTATATTATATACATGCAAGGTTCTTTTAGGCTGTGGGGATTGCTCTGTCTAAAAACTCTAAAACCAAGGCATGGTTTATAGTACAAGTAAAGAAGATATTCTTTCTGAAGGAAGGTTGCCATTAGAAATTTAAAAAAATAAAATTAAAAAAGAGGATCCTAGAACATGAAGTTTTGGATTCATTGCTTTGTAACAGTCTGTACCTGAAATCGTTTCTGCTTTGGGAAATGACTATAAATTCCATGGTGGTTTCCACGGTGGTTATCTTGTTTAATCTCAATTTTGACCACCTTTCTGTGTTGAGGGTGACTGT